TGGTTTTTTAAAAGACCAGTTCAGACGGTTTTATGGGCAAAGTAAATTTATATGCCCAAAGTAATTAATATTAATTGCATTCAAATACAGTTTCAAAGAGAGAATAGAATGGAATGTCTTCAAATAATGAGACTAAAGAGCTTCAAATTCTCGCTCAATGATTTATTCTTTCATGTTGATTATGTTCCAGCAGCCACTACTTATATTTCTATACGTAATTATAATTTGATTTTAAAATTAATTATCATCAATGGACAGTCCTTCTGATAGAAACTACACATCTTACTGTTTCTTTTCATGTAATGTACTATCGTGCAATCTGAAAACTGTCATAAGGAACAAAAACTAAAAGCTTCTTTTTTTTTTTTTCATAGTATCAGGTGGTTTTATTTCCTTCCCGGGCAGGTTAAGTTTATAACAATTTTTTAGCTCAAACGTTTTTGATTTTACAGTTTCTTTAATATTAAGAATTAAATTATATTTAATTTCAATGATGGATTTAAATTTCCCACTACCATTCAGAAGACAACTTTGTTTTCAAAACTCGGAATTGTAAATTAGGACAATTCTCTGAATTCCTAAAAGTATCAATAACTACTTAAAGTTCCAAAAATGTACCAGCTGTGATAGGTTATTAACATCAGTGCTTTCTGAAGTTACAGTAGAAGTAGTTTTCTTTTGTGGTGGCTTATGAATGTTTTGCATAGAACTCTTTATCTTAAAAACAATTGAAAAAATATAACTAGATTAATGTCTTAAACTTAACATTTCATCGTGTAATTATACACAGATAAAAACTGGCATCCATCTTAATCTTTATAGGTCTTCTTATTAAAAAGAAAAAAACCCAAGCCATTAGGATCAGACTGCTATGTCATGTGTCAAAAATACTAGAGTCCACTTCCTTACACAGTAAGAATACAGAACTGTAAATTGCATGTTGGATAATTATTTCAGGTACTGAATTGGGTTTGCACAACCTTTCCTATTACTGTGGGAAACATTTTACATAAAACCATCCAGATAGATGTCATTAGGATGGCAAAGCTGGCCTAAAGTCTAAAGTAACAGAATTTCTTCCTTTTACTTCTGTGTGGTCGTAATGGAAGTGATTGCACTGTGACATCATGCTTTAATCTGAAGTTGGAAATGGGCTTTACAGCTCCTTACCTCCTGGTGAAATGATACAGGAAAAAACACTCAAGTTATTTTCAACTCTGTTACAATTTCAGAATCCTGGAAATATTCTAGGAAGGCTTATTCTCTGAGAAGTATCACATTAATATACTTGCAGAAATCAATAATTACATAAAACATTAATATGGATGTTATTTTTCAACCTTTCCCACTTGTTCTATCACTATTCAAAGAATAATCCCAGTTGAACATTGCAAAATGGATTAGAAGCATTTCAAATAAACAAAAAATGAGAGTAATAAATGAATACATGGAATAAACTTGTGAGAAAGGTAGTTACTTAAACAGCTTTTCTTTTAAATTGAATTGGCAAGACATTCATTAGTTTGTTCAACTGTGGTAAAAGTGTAATGTAAAGTTGCAGAGAATACCTTGTCAAAATTTTGCCCCGTCTGTATTAAATTAAACTAGTGTAATTTTATTACATCTCTTGTAGTCACTCTTGCTTGCTGAACTAATTTATTACTTATGAAACTAGTATTGCAATACAAATACTGTAATAATAAATAGAATAAGTAAAACAAGTTAATGTGAAACTGAAATGAATAGCAATGTTTAAAGAGCAGGAGAGAACAAAAGCAAGTTAACAGAGTGTAGTCCATGCCTGAAAATCAAATACTTTTCTGTTTTTTGCTGCAAATTAGACAAACTAAGCCCACTGTTGTTTCTCTAGAAGCTATTTTTATATTAAATTGTATCACAGAGCACATAGTTGCAGCAATGATAACTAGATATAAGTATTGACCTGAAGAAAACTGTCAGTCTCTCAAGTCTTGATGTCAAGGCATTGCTTGTAGCATTTAGTTTATTACATAAAAGTCAACAGCACAAAGTGGAATTAAAGTCCTTGATAGATTATCAGCAGGATATTCCTTCATTAACTAAAATAACGTTGATCCTGCAAGTTTCTCCTTTCAAAACACAGGAAGTGATGGCTACAGCAATTTTTTTCAATTTTTGTATAGCAAATTAAAGACCCTCTTCCAAAGTGTACATAAACATTGCACTTAGAGTTACATCATGACTGTTTTTTTTTTTCTCCAGTTCTGTTAAATCTTTCCTATAATGTGTATAATGTTATTCCATTGATATTAGTGTAGTTTCTCCTGGTTTTTACCAGCATAGATGTATGAAACCACTATTATACTATTATAGTGAAGCACGCTTACACATCAGAGTAATAAAAACATTTCTAACACTCAGTTGCCTCCTTCGAAGGTGAAACCTTTGCTGACATAAAGAGGTGAAATCCCATAGGAGAAGTCATCCAACTGTAGTTTAAATTAGGAAATACTTTAGTCCTGGAGATCCCAGCACACTACTGTCTGCAGTTCTAAGAGCTACAGCACTTCTGTTTGTGGGAAAGTTTATGTAAACAAGAAATCCATACTAGCGTCTTTTCTGCAGCAGGCTGAATGGTGCAGTGATCAAGATTAGAGGCCATGTTCTTTTCACCGCTCAAATGTGAGCTACAGGTGAAAACAAACAAAAAATATCAAATGGAAGAATATGACCAAAATTTATTTTGGAAAATTTAAATTCTTGTATAATCCATCCTGTGAGTACAAATAATTCCTTTAGTCTTAGTCATGTGCTTTCCTGACAAAATGATAATTTAAAACAAAAGGGAAACTTCTTTGAAATGGGTAACTTAGAAATTGAAATAGACACTATCTCTGAAATAAAGGATGCTTTAGGGACATGATTAGCAGAAAAAATAGTGCTGGTATTAGGTAAACAAAACTCCCAAATCAGGATTGTGATCCACTCTGCTAAGTGTTTTGCAAACAAGATTAAGGTGTATTATGTATTAGCAGTTTTGTCAGATCTTGTAGGTTTTTGTTAAGGACAATGGTACAAAAGTACAGACCCTTGCTGCAGCCTCAGCTGACCTTATCTAACAATCGTGACAAGTACCAAATAACTGTGGAAAGGAAGATAATTAAGCTTTCTATCCAACTTGTAAATCTGTGCAATTCCATTAGCTTCAGTGAATTTCTACAGCTTTCATAGGAAAGTAACCTGGAATTAGGGGTCCAAGCCTCTGTGTTGGTGCAGGGTTCACTCTGCTTCCGCTGTACTTCCTGTGATTTCTGTTGGTACGGTGCATAGTGACTCAATGTGTAGCCTACTTTATTGTGACAAAATCCTAATGCCATACAAAAAATGATCCTGTTGGGTTCTCAGATTGCATCTGCTCTTTTTATAGCTAAAGCTGTATTTGTAAAGTATGAGGTGCTATCATCCATCCTGTATGTAAACATTTGGCTTCTCTTCAGCCGGCTTTTGTAAATAAATTTTATTTTAACTATAACAGAAATGTTACGTATCTTCAATGTCTTTGCAAATAGGTTTTTGATTTTTTTAATTAATATCATTTCACTGAGGCTTCTTAAAACATAAAGCTATTGTACATCAAGAAAGATTTTGCTGTATACATTCATGCATCTAAAGACAGGAGAGGGCATGCTGTACTTAACTTGTTTGACCTGTAATGTATACAAGGAATGGAAAATTTGGCTGCATGTGTAATGACCTGATAGCCCAGGTAATTTCCTTTATGCCTCAAATTAGGTAACAGACATTCATAATGCATAGATAGTTGCTTGTTGAGCAGTCTAGCTTTGTATTTGCAGAGCTACTGCTATACTAACTGGTATTAAATTCACATTCAGTGATTTATTTGACCTGGGAAGCCAAATAAATTTTTTGTTCCTTAAAAGGATGTTTTTCAGGATTCCAAATGATCTACATTCTAATTTTCTGCTTTATTACAGTTGTGATGAATACATGATCATTTGCAATATATGTGTATATATGTATATGTATATATGGTGGGACATTATGTATATATAGTATATACATTGGCATATATTGGGACATGACTTTCACTTTGGTTTGTGACTTCAACATTGTTCTGTGGCTTCACCAACCTATTTTAGAAACCTAAATAAATCACTAATCATAGTCATGGAAGTTATCTTCTTCCTTAGATAAAAATATATCTAGAAAGTACCAGTTTGTATAGAGTATGCTTTAGACCTGTCCCACTGTTAAATAAAGCATAATATAATAAGCTAGAATTTGCAATGGCTGCCTGACACACACAAAGGTATTTTTATTAACCTGCATGCAGAAATTAACCCTTAGAGTACTGCTTCAAGTTCCTCAAATTTATTTTATTATTTAATTTTACCAATGGGCTATGCTGCTTTTCTACTCAGCTCATAGTACTGTACATAAAGTACATTAAATAGCCATACACACACAAAAAAAGAAAGTAGTGAGAAAAAAAATTTAAAAAATACCCCAACTTGTAAACAAGGGATTCTACAAGACTAAGTACCCTGGGTTGCTAATGGGTCATGTATTCCTAAGCAACTTTTCTTTAAGGTTTTTATAATGACATTAGTTAAAAACATGTGATATTTCACTGTAGCTGTGTGCTTGTTAGGTTTGTTCCTAAAGTATCATAGGTATGTCAGCTTAAAGAAAGAAGTCAGTTCTTTAAGGGTTAATGTGGGGTTAAGGAAACCTGAGGTATTCTCCTGCTTGTCATTTCTTAAAGGTATCTGCATGTTAATTCTCAGATATTACCTGAACAGGTGAATATAAACACTGTGTGAATGACTAACTGAATGAACGAAATAAATAATTTGAAATGCTTGCTTGTATCTTGTAAATGACTGGAAAACAGATATGTGATTTCTGAATCAAGGTCTTTAATGAAATACATAAAAATTTCACCAAAGTAGAAATTAATATACTGACTATTTACTTTGGTTTCTTTTTCTTTTAAATAGCCCAATAGAATCCTGCCAGAATTTCTACAAAGATTTCACGTTACAGATTGACATGGCTTTCAATGTCTTCTTCCTACTCTACTTTGGACTGCGTGTAAGTAGTGTGTCTTTGATAGCAGGGGACAGGGAGGGACTATAGCTGATAGATAGGGAGAAACTTTGAGTACAGCCTGACTTTACACTGACTGGACAAAATTTTTAGAATAGATGAGCAAAACGTTTGATTGAGAACATTTAGGTAATAATAAGAAGCATCTAAGATCACTAAGGAGGCATAATTTGTAAACTAAGCAATCTGTTCTAGATTGTTCTTGTGTGGTAGAAAGTGAGAAGAATTACAATTTAGTGCTAGTCGGTGGCATTGAATCTAGTTTCAGTGTTCTCAATGGAGTGATAATTACTTCAGCAAGAGTAGTGAATACTTGATCTATTCCATTGCTGCTGGATACATCTTTGTAAGTTGAAGGTTGAGATAACAGCTGATAGAGTTGCTGTGGTCATTTTTGTGCACATCCCTTTCCCAGACTGCAAATTAATGCTTTGCAGAAGCTGTAAATACTAGTCAACATGCTGTATTTATATGCTTAGAATATGCTTAGCACTTTCTGAAAATCCATTAGTATTTTTTCAGAATGTAAAAACTGGGACATTGGAAACAGGTAGGCACTTTTAAAGGTTTGCAATTCAATCTGCTGGAGTTTTGTTCTGTTGTTTTTTTACAAATACACTTTGAAAACATACTTTGCATGTTGTGAATTGGAAAAATCAGGGGAAAAAGGCCTCAAACATAACAGAACTACTAGGAAAACCTCATGTGAACTGAAATAGTGAATTTTGAGCCCCAAATTGCTGAAAAATAGTGAATTTTGATCACAAAGTTGGCTCAAAATAGGAAATTTTGAACCCAAAATTTCTGGATTAGAGCAAATTTTGAGCCCAAAATTACTGGAAAATAGTGCATTTTGATCCCAAAGTTGGCCCTGAATAAGGAATTTTGGGCCCAAAATTGGCCTAAAATAGCTTATGACCAACATAATCAACTTTTTCTGATAACCCACAAAGGAATTTTGTTGCAAATCTAGGTTAGTATTTTACCTAGGTGCAGTGTGTATCTTTTTTCTCAGCAGATAAATTCCTTCAGTATTTACAGTTATGTATGTATTGTAAGTTGTATTTTAAAAGTTTAGTGCAATAGCCCCCATCTTTAAGATTTTGTAAGTCTTCACCAGGTCTGTAATATAGGTTAACTTTTTGTTGTTACAGTTACAATGCATGGCACATGGGAACTTCCAAGAACCTTTTTTAGAAGTATCCAAACTTTATGCTAGTGATAAGGTTGTGTGTACCAAGAGACTTGGTTCGTATACCAAGAGACTTAAAATTAGGTATTGGCCACACTTACTCAAAGCAGTAACTTAGGCTACATTATCAAGAAGCAGAGCACAATAAGAGAATATACTGAGAGCGTCAATGCTAATACTTTCATATATAAGCTGTGCTTTTTAGTAGGGAGAGAGAGTACGATACAGTCCACTCTGCTCTTGTTGAGCAGACTATAACACTTTAGCAATTACAATGTGTGAGATGCACTGATAGAACACCTTTTTAAGTTTTAATTTCAACCAAAACAAACACTTTATGTTACCCAAAACTACTTTGTGATGTAAATTGACGTGTGGTGAGTAGCGATCATAACGATTCACTTCAGATTAGTGCTCCTTATCTGAATTAAAATGCTAATATGGGTGTGACTTTAGTTCTC